CAAATGAGACTTCCAAAAAAATGAAGGCAGGTTTTACTGTATTCATTTAAAATATCTGTTATCCTGATAAGACACAATTTGGATTATAGATTATAAACACAAGGTAATAAGACCAAATCCAAATAAATAAATAGTGTGTGACATTTCAGTAACAACGCTGTTACCAAAACGTCACACACTATTTATTAATTTGGATTTGGTCTTATTACCTTGTGTTTATCTTTTATCCTCTTTTTCCTTGTGTTAAACATGGTGAATTATGATTTCTTGAAATTTATGAACTATGTTTGGGGGGAAGGGGATAATACATAATAAATATCACAAAGCAATAACACGCCATCTATACATATAAAATGAAAGGATTTAAAAGCATGAATGTTTCTTTTATACATAATACAAACTTCTACTGTCCTTACTGCGGTGAAAAAATATATTGGGAGGGCTTGGCTCATCAGTGGTGAACCCTCCCAGCGGTTTCGCCAATTTAATCTACCAGACCGCTTCTATAGAGCTCTAATACTGTATTGGACGATGCTGCTTATATACGCAGCACTGAAGGATGGAATCTCAGAAATGGTTTTCAAGAAAACTATGGACATAAGCTTATAGGACAGTAGAATTACATTCAAATATTTGGATCGAGCAATGCTCTTCAGCAAACAATAAAGACAAGGCCAGTTAGGCATATACATAATAAATATATAATATTGGAGGACAAATAAAAAATATTTACCTTATTCATTGACCTTGTTAGGGCTGAAACATAACAAATGATGGTTAGACACAAAAACAGACATTTATCAAGAGAAAAGCAGTTTTTTTTTTTGCTTATTCCTAGTACATGTGGTACAGGCCAATGATAATGGTTGGTAGAAGTAGGCAACGGCTTTTACTGTAAGTGTACCACATGTCTACACATGTGAAAATCAGTTCGACTTTGCACTTACAAAAATGTGCCAGAGCTCCGTTTGGTTACTTGCATTCACTGGTGGGGTTGAACTTTTGCAAGTATTGGGGGCCATTGGAGCATTTTTTTTATTCTTATGAGATAAAAGTGCACAATGTGGGATTCGAATCCGAGTTGTAGCGGTCGAAAACCAACGGTTTAGACCATCCTTCCACCGACACCCTAGAGAAAGGTAGTGAGTTCTCTATATATTGTCTTCTCTCATGATATCTCTCTAGTGAGGAGTGTTATGTTTGAACAATATTTTACAATTTTGCACTGGGGCGAGAGAAATAGAGCAGTTTTCTTTAATAAATTCAATAAAGAATCCAGTAATAAGTTTCTTGTACAACCTTTGTATCTCAAGCTTTCAGACTCCTCAGCCCTTCAAAGGGAGTAACACAATAACTAATAAAAATCATTTTTATGGCAACAACGCCTTTGCCGGTCCCAAGCCCAGATGAAAAAGGAGGAGGGGGAGCAGTAACAAGCTCACTAAAAAACCTGGGCTCAGCTGGCCAGCCTGATAGTACCCTGTAAGGGCTCCTAATATAGGGATACAGGATGAGCAGCATTTGTACTCTATGTTAGGAGCGGCTGCATAAGGCGTCTGTTCCTCATGTCAGAGGCGGCCATTTCTTTTGGAGCTAAGTCGGCCTGCCACTGAGTAGTGCTCCCAGTCTTAATGACAAAGGCAGACGTATTCTACTTCACCTAGTGTAGAGATAAGAAAGAAGATTTTTATGGCAAAAAAAGAAAAAAAAGCCTTCTCAATTATTATGAAAAAATACTACAAATGTGAAATTGTACTGGGTAAAGGTGGATAAATTAAGAAAAAAAACATTTTGAGAAAGAATTTGTTAAATAAATAAATTACTAAATTTTCGTTGGTTAAAATAAATCCGAATAACAAGGTATCTGACTGGCTAAAGTCCTGTCAAGAGTCATATCCCTCAAAAAAAATTGAAAAGCAGAAGGTATATAGTAGAAGGTAATACAGTGATTTAAAAAAGTGAATTCTAAAACACAAGGTAATAAGACCAAATCCAAATACATAAATAAATAGTGTGTGACGTTTCAGTAACAGCACTTTTACCAAAACATCTATTTTTATGTATTTGGATTTGGTCTTATTACCTTGTGTTTCTAATCTATAATCCAAATTGTATACCTTATCAAATCAATTCTGACTTTGGAAGTTGAAAGGTAGGCAAGCAACTACTTGTTACATTAGCAGTACAAGAAATGACAGCCCTCTTCCATACCCAAAGATTCCACTCTGACTTGGAACAATATAAAATGGTATTGTAATAACAACTTGGAAGTACCAACACCACTCACCTTGTTCAGCTCTCAGTTCCTTTCTGAACTTGATGAGTTCATCATCGTACTTTCCATAGAGCAAACTTCTCTTGGGAGTAAAGGCAGCAGGCTGGGCACCACACCATTGGAAATCCTTCAAGTTCAATAAAGGCAATTACCAAGTAAGTGCAAAGTTTAACCAGCTTTTCACATGTGTAGACATGTGGTGCACTTACAGTTGTTGTTGTTGTTTCTTATCCCCATGTGTAAAGATTACACGAATTCCATGAGGGAATGGGATGTAGGGGTGAAGCTTTCGTTGATCATGGCACCATGATCCAGGCACACTGCACTTACAGTAAAAGCAGTGACCTACTTCTACCCACCATGATTATCATGGCCTGTACCACGTGTAGTAGGGATAGGCAATAAATAATACCAAGTTTTAATAATATCAAATGTAATGCCTCAACATCTACAATGCCTCAAATACTACACAGAGCATATATGATTAGAAAATATATCAAAAGGTAATAAGATCAAATCCATGGATCTATGGATTTGATATTACTCTTTATTTCTAATCTCAAATTGTACCATATCAGATTAAGAAAATGACGGCTCTATTTGAGTGTCAGATGACTTGGCTTCAAGCTAGTCCTCTACCTGAGTAAAATTAATCATTCCTCCAGGGAAAAGTTCAAAACATTTTTATTCTCTAGCTTTCGGGCACGGACGTCCTTCTACAGGAGAAAACCTGGTATAATAATTTGCCAATAGAACACAAGTTAAATATAATCAGATACCATTTTACATAATTTTATAAAATTCTATAGATATTCTAATTCTATATTTTTAATTCTATAGATATGTATTCCTTGCTTCCTTAGTTATTTTCTAGTGGCCTATATTTATTTATTTGTTTGTCCTCTTATTAGAGACTAGACGAATGGCCCGGGCAACGCCCGGGGTTTACCCGAGTGCGAATATATTCTAAAAACGTTGACTTGGGTGGTCGCTATTAACAGGGTGGTCTGTATAGACAGGTGGATGTATCACACAGCTGATAACAGGGTTGTCTAGAGTGGTCGCTATAGACAGGGTGGTCTGTATAGACAGGTTTATGAGAGAGGCACAAACTTACAGGTTGTTGACGCCGCAATCCCCAAAGAGAGTGTTTTTTGTTGCATCATGCTGTGACTCACACGACGACCCAAGGTCAACAGGGGTGGAGCAGCAAGCTTAGGCCTATCACCGTCTGGCGGCGCTGCTTGCGAGTTATATCTACAATTCTGCAAATAACTCTAAGGATATTCAAGATATTCAAGAAATTATTTTTCGAAAACCTTTCCGGGGATATACCTAATAATATCCCAGAATTTCATGGCGATTGGATGTATGGTTTTTGAATAACAGGGTTGTCTAGAGGGGGGCAGGGAGGACACGTGTTCCCTTGCAGCCAATGAGCGCGCATTCTATCCGTGAGCTTCAGACAAACAGACAGAATAAGGCAAATATATAAGTAGATATATTTTTATAATATTTTGTCCCAATTTGTATAATAGTTAATATTGTCAAGAAGCTCCATCCAGATGGGACACTTGTCAATCATCCCTGGACCCCGGGGGGGGGGGACCACAGATGTGAGGGGTTCTCGGAAGCTGATCTGTAAATAAGGAAAACGGGACGGTGGCTGACGCCGCTCATTATTATTATCTTTACCTTGGGATAAGTTGTTTTTATTATCTGGCTCTCTCTCCCTTTAAATACCTCTTGTATATAATTTTATTGGAGAACTAAAAGGTAAATACCCACCTTTATAATAAATTAATTATTCCCAAATTTGCCCTTGCTTTATTTATCTCTGCGACAATATAAATATATTTTGCACATTTATAGAATTTTATAAAATTATGTAAAATAGTATCTGATGATTATATTTAACTCGTGTTCTATTGGCGTATCATTATACCAGGTTTTCTCCTGTAGAAGGACATCCGTGCCTGAAAGCTAAAGAACAATAAAAATGTTTTGAAAAGACACTTTTCCCTGGAGGAATGATTGATTTTACTCAATATTGATACAAGGAATTATTTTATACAATAGTTCATGAAGGTAAAGTCGGACTTTCACCAAAGTGTTTCTGAATCATGATGCCATGATCAACAAAAGCTGCACCCCATCCATGAGATCAAGCTCGAGAATCATGTACTCATGGAATTCATATATTCTTTATTGCAGGGTTTTCCCACTATGTACTAAGTGCAATTCTCAACCTGCAACCCCAAGACATATTATTGACTGTATTGACTCATCCATTGATGAGCTCTACTCTTCCTCGGCAGACACCATCAAAAATCTCTAGCTTTACAAGCTTGATACCTTAGTGTGATTGAGTGGAGATAAGAAAGGAGAAGAAGAAGATATATTCTTTACACAAAGGGATAAGAAACAACAACATATCATGAGATTGGCAGATCTTGATAAAATAGGTGTACACATAGGAACAATTTTTTTTTTTTTTTTTTTACTTATCCCTAGTACACGTGGTACAGGCCATGATAATCATGGTGGGTAGTTAGCGACTGCTTTTTACTGTAAGCGCACCACATGTCTACACATGTGAAAAGCAGTTCGACTTTGCACTTACAAATGCCAGAGCCCCGTTTGGTTACTTGCACTCGCTGGTGGGGTTGGACTTTTGCAAGAATCGGGGGCCATTGGAGCATTTTTTTTTTTAAACAGAAAAAAGTGTCTAATGCGGGAATCGAACCCGGGTCCTAGTGGTCGAAAACCAAACGGTTTAACCATGAAAATAAATAACCTTTAACACACTGATGACACTACAGTGCTAGTAGAAAACAAAGAAGACCTGAAAGTGATTATTAAGAAAGTCAAAGAAGGAGTTGAAAAAATTTTGGATTAAAATTAAATATCAGCAAGACCAAAATTATGTAGTTGTTGTTTCTTATCCCCTTGTGTAAAGATTACACGAATTCCATGAGTTCATGATCTCATGGAATGGGGTATAGGGGTGCAGCTTTCATTGATCATGGCACCATGATCCAGGCACACTTTGGTGAAAGTCTGACTTTGCCTGTAGTTTGAGGCCGTTCCAAACATGGAAGCCTTTGCTGCTGACTCTAACATGAGTACAGACACAACTCCTCCGTATCCCTGGAGTGGGACCATTGCTGAGGTCTTATCAACCGGGTCAGTTGAACTCAGGATTTTTAAACCAAAATTATAACTAGACATAATATAAATAGGTTTGAACTTCACAAAGATTGATATAGCTGATACCTTCATGTACTTAGGATCCAGGATTGATAAGATGGGAGGTTTCTTAGAGGGAATAAAAAGAAGAATAGCATTAGGAAGGGACACAATGATGAAATTGAACAAGATCATGAAAGATAAAGGCATTTCTCTCAAGACAAAGAAGATAATGGTAGAGGCATTGGTATTACCTGTAGTCACTTATAGATGCGAGAGCTTGGCTTTCATAAAAGAAGAAAGAATTGAAGCTTTTGAAATGCGGACAGGGAGAAAGCTACTCAGCAGCAAAGGCTTCCATGTTAGGAACAGTCTCAAACTACGGGTAAAGTCAGATTTTCACCAAAGTGTGCCTGGATCATGGTGCCATGATCAACGAAAGCTGCACCCCTATACCCCATTCCATGAGATCATGAACTCATGGAATTCGTGTAATCTTTACACAAGGGGATAAGAAACAACAACAACAAAATGATCAGATAAAAGTTCAATTGTTTCTAATCTTGAATGATTTTTTTTTTACTTATCTTTTAGTCTAAATTAGACAAGATCTTGGAGGTCGTGCTCGTAAAGAAGCTCAAGAACTCTTCTTGGTTCTCTGTACAGGGATCTTTTGTCCTTTCCAATGCAATTTAGTATATGTTGGGGATTGGCCTCTTTGGTTTTGCACCTAGTGCACATGGGGAAGCTTTTGGCTCCCTCTTTATAGACTAGAGGGCGCAGGTGACCAGATTTCCATCTGGCCAACTGTGTCGATTCCCTTCTGTTTAGTTGGAGGGTCTGTTTTGGGGGGTTTTATACCATGATTTATGAATTATTTAAATCCTGTTAGATCTCTGATACGTTTCTATTAAATGTTGAATATTAATGGTGAAAATTATTTTATAAGAAATTGCACTTTATATATATTTAAAGATAAATGAAAGATACACCATTTTTATGCTACTATAATTATTTTATTCTTTTTACAATTCTTGCACACGTGCTCATTATATATCGAACATTTTGTTGTCTACAAGATTTATTTATTTATGCTTATGAGGTGATACAGCAACGTATTTACAATTAGATACAAGATGATTATAAAAACAAGATGATCAAAACAGAGTAAATTATTATATATCACTGATATATTATCTTTAAACAAAACAGATCAATCTCTAGAATCCCAAATAATGTCAACAAAGACTGACCTACTTCAGACACATAATGAGAGAAAATAGTTTAGAAAAGATGTTGAAAAATTGAAGGAAGAAGAAAGTTAGGAAGACTGCCAAAGAGCTAGCAAGAAGGGGTCAAGGAAGTTACCAGAAGGTCACTAGATGAGCTTTCTAGTGATAGTCACCAATAGATAAATGGAGAATATTTGTCCATATAATCACCCAGAATCAACTTGATGGCTTCAAATAACAATAATTCAATAGATTGCAAGATTTTAAAACTGTCATTACACAAATGAAGAAACATCATTCACAAATACCAATTTTTGAGTTTTGGTAATTTCAACACATTTCAAGATTAATTATATATTTTATAAATAACATTATGAAAATGGAATTAATTTTAAAAAATCATTGTTGGATCAAAATATCATTTATTTTACCAATATTTCAGTTGGCTGAACGCCTACCTTTATCAAGGTATTATAACATATTAATGTGTGTCAACAACAAACTCAGCGCCACATAACGTCAATAGAATTAAGTTTTTAAAAAATATTTTTTGCTTAAATTCAATGGAGAGAAAAGGTTGGCGTTCAGCCAACTGAAATATTAGTAAAATGATATTTTGATCCAATATATGCCTTTTTAATTAAAGATTTATTTATGGATTGTTCTATTTTCAAAACAAATTATGAATATTGTAGAGAAAGGTTTTGAAAATAAAAATTGTAGAAAATTTAACCAACTTACTTTTTGGCCTCCACTTGACGATAATGGACTTGAAATTCCTCCTGGAATATATCAACATGGCTTAGTTGACAGCTGAACATTTTATATTTAAATTATCTTCTTCTTTCTTATCTCCACTCAATCATATTAGGGTATCAAGTTGTGACCCTTGATGGTGTCTGTTTGACAACCATCATGACTGGGGTGAAGTAGAATGCATCTGCCTTTGTCATTAAGACTGGGAGCACTACTCAGTGGCAGGCCAACTTAGCTCCAAAAGAAATGGCTGCCTCTGACATGAGGTACAGACACCATGTGCAGCCGCTCCTAACATGGAGTACAAACGCTGCTCATTCTGTATCCCTGGATTAGGAGTCCTTACAGGGTACTATCAGCCGGGCCAGCTGAGCCGAGGTTTTTTAGTGAGCTTGTTACTGCTCCCCCTCTTCCTTTTTCATCCGGGCTTGGGACCGGCAAAGGCGGAGTTTATTTAAATTATGAATCCAGAGAGCACACACACAAATATATTAAAGTTGATAAATACAAAATGTAATAAAACCAAATCCAATAAGAGAAGTTTCACTATTTTTTTTTTCTAATGATGGTAAAAACACATCACACACTATTTATTTATTTGGATTTGATCTTATTACCTTTTGTTTCTAATCTATAATCTAAAATAACTCCGCCTTTGCCATCCCCAAGCCCGGATGAAAAAGGAGGAGGGGGAGCAGTAACAAACTCGCTTAAAAATCTGGGCTCAGCTGATGGTACCCTGTAAGGGCTCCTAATCCGGGGATACAGGATGAGCAGCATTTGTACTCCACGTTAGGAGCGGCTACACATGGCGTTTGTTCCTCATGTCAGAGGTGGCCATTTATTTTAGAGCTAAGTCGGCCTGCCACTGAGTAGTGTTCCCAGTCTTAATAACAAAGGCAGACGCATTCTACTTTACCCAATCATGATGGTTGTCAACAGACTCCATCAAAAGTCAAGCTTTACAAGCTTGACACCCTAATATGATTGAGTGAAGATAAGAAAGAAGAAGACCTTTTGTTTCTAATTTATAATCCAAATTGTAGCTAAATCAAACTGTTTTCATACAAATGGCACAAAAAAAATTGTAATTCTCCAAAACCATGGCCTGGAAAAAAAGTGATGTGTGGAATCTGCACAAATATGAAATTTGTTTAAAAGAAAAATTTTCTGTGATAAAAACGAGTGGAATTCCAATTAATTTATATGTTATAATTATTCATTCTATTGTAATGAGAAGGGGGAAAATAAAACTGTAACAAAAGTACCAAGTTATGAAGTACAATAGTATGATTTACTCGCCTTGTTCAGCTCTCAGCCCCTTCCTGAACTTGATGAGTTCATCATCGTACTTTCCAGAGAGCAAACTCCTCTTGGGAGTAAAGGCAGCAGGCTGGACATCACAGCATTTTGGATTACTTTAGTTCAAAATAAGACATTTTATGAAGTTGACTTCTTTTTTTTTAACAACTATGCATCTTAAAAGTACAATAGAACCTCCCTGTAAAGGATAACACCTAATTACAGAGCCAAAGTGTCCTTTAGGGAGAGGTGTCCTCTTACCAGAGAGTTTCTAAACAGTAAAATTGGTAATTTTTCAAATGAAAACTATCTTTTGTAGAGAGGTGTCCTCTAATGTGAGTGTCCTCTCATAGAAAATCTACTGTAATACTTCAAAAAAAATCAATTTTAATTACATTATTTTCTGTGTAAAGTACACCCATACCTCGCTTTGCGTCGGGGTTATGTTCCAAAAAAACACAACGCAAAGTGAAAATATGTGAAGGCGCAATCAAAAACAAAGGTGTTGCCATATTTTAGGAAAAAAAATTCAAAAAAAATTTAAAGACTCAATCCAAAACAACGCAACTTTGAAAATCTAACAACGCACAGTGAAAATCAGTAAAAATTAAGCAGCGACGCAACTTCGAAAAAAACACAAAACGAAACTACGCAAAGCAAGGTATTGGTGTAAAAGGAAAAAGATATTTAATGATGACTTTAGAGATGAGCCAAATATATGGGTTTTTTAAGTGACTTCATGGCATGAGCTTAAAGGAAATGTAATTAAAACACATTAGCCATGTAGGCAATGTATTTAACACAAGTTCTTTTAGTATGTTAGTTCAAGAAACCTAATACAAATAATTTTATTCTTTTGTCTGATGATGGTGACAATGCTGTTGCCGAAAATTCACACACTATTAAATTATTTGGATTAGGTCTTATTTTCTTGTATTATAATCTACTAGACAGGTGACCCGGGCTTCGCCCCGGGATTGACCCGTGTGCATATCTACCCGAGTGGTATATATTTAGATAAGATTTTTTTTTTATAATTGTTTGTTATTAGCATTATCTATTTGTTTGCATCAGCATAATTTAATCGTTGATAGAGGGCGCTGTTCGTGAGCTAAGTAGAATAATTTGAATATATAGTTTTAATAATTGATTTATATATATTTTTAAATAGCCTATCGTCTTCCCCGTATATTTTTTACCTATGTATGAAAATTTTGGTTTGAATTAGTGAACTACTGCAAATTTGCATACCGGACATACAAACATTGATTTTTATATATATAGATAATCTAAATTGTGCTTTATCATAGTATGTTAGTTGTAAATT